TAAATAATTGTTATACACATTGACAGTATAAAGAATTGTTATGCACATGACAATATAAATAATTGTTATACACATTGACAGTATAAAGAATTGTTATACACATTGACAGTGTAAAGAATTGTTTTACACATTACAATATAAAGAATTGTTATACACATTGACAGTATAAAGTATTGTTATACACATTGACAGTATACAGAATTGTTTATACACATGACAATATAAATAATTGTTATACACATTGACAGTATAAAGAATTGTTATACATATTGACAGTATAAAGAATTGTTATATAAATTGTTATACACTGATAATATAAAGAATTGTTACACTTATGGATAATATAAAGAATTGTTATACACATTGACAATATAAAGAATTGTTATACACATTACAATATAAAGAATTGTTATACACATTGACAGCATAAAGAATTGTTATATACATTGACAGTATAAAGAATTGTTATACACATGACAATATAAAGAATTGTTATACACATTGACAGTATAAAGAATAGTTATACACATTGACAGTATAAAGAATTGTTATATAAATTGTTATACACTGATAATATAAAGAAATGTTACACTTATGGACAATATAAAGAATTGTTATACACATTGACAATATAAAGAATTGTTATATACATTGACAGTATAAAGAATTGTTATACACATGACAATATAAAGAATTGTTATTCACATTGACAATATAAAGAATTGTTATACACATTGACAGTATAAAGAATTGTTATACACATTGACAGTATAAAGAATTGTTATACACATTGACAATATAAAGAATTGTTATACACATTGACAATATAAAGAATTGTTATATACATTGACAGAATAAAGAATTGTTATACACATGACAATATAAAGAATTGTTATACACATTGACAGTATAAAGAATTGTTATACACATTGACAGTATAAAGAATTGTTATACACATTGACAGTATAAAGAATTGTTATATAAATTGTTATACACATTGACAGTATAAGGAATTGTTATACACATTGACAGTATAAGGAATTGTTATACACTGATAATATAAATAATTGTTATACACATTGAAAGTATAAAGAATTGTTATACACATTGACAGTATAAGGAATTGTTATACACTGATAATATAAAGAATTGTTACACTTACGGACAATATAAATTGCTATACACTGATAATATAATACGTACAGAGGATTGTCATACACATTGGCAATACATATGGAGGATTCTTATCTTATAATGTGAAGATATTCATCTTGAGATTAAAACAAAATTCAATCTGAGAATTTAACGAAAATATCCTCTGACTATACTAACAAATGCAGCGGAAGCTGAGAAAGTGTGTAAATACGGATAGTAGCTCCGCTGACTCAGCAGTGAGCCTGGGGGATTTATACTGCTAAAAAATCGTATTTCAATACTCGAGGTGACCAGACCACAGATAGCCCACTGTGTAGATTTGTGCTTAATTAAAAAATAAAAAGCACATCGGCCTTTCTATCAAGGAAACCCCTTATCGAATTATGGCCTCTACCACAATAGAAACAATCCTTCTTAGGACTTCCATAAAGATGAAAGCAGATTATCAGTGGAAACGTAGGATAAAAACTAGTTAGTAATTAGTATATAAAAAAGTGTAGCTAACTAATTATCATGTTCTGATTAACCTTTGGGGTAATAACCATGACTTGGATAGGTACTCGTCTTCTAGAACCTTATAATGACATAAAGTTTGAAATATTAATGACACGAAATTCAATATATACACAAAAATGTTACAGATCTAACACACAATTTACTATTTAAACATTACACATAGCAGTCAGTGTCTTATTTACATGCAATAACCATTAAAGGTTGTTTCGCTTTGCTAGGTTCGGCATTATAATAGAAGATAATCTAAGATTATTGTTACGACAGCGGAAGTCATGTGGCCCTGGTAGCTGCGTGAAGTTTCTCGAATTATCGGGGAAGACCGAGTTTGTTCGAGACGCCCTCTTTTTTAGTATATAAGCCTGGCAAAGAAAGCCAACTAGAAAATAATAAATTGTTTGTTTTGTACTCGTCGAGAGCGAAGTTATCGAGATTGTGAACTTACTGTTTGCTAAAAGTTTG